ATCATAAAATAGATCTTTTTAAACCCTACAACTTTTGTATTTAACATTTTTTTATACAACGCTTTGTTTTCGAGATATTCAGGTGTTCCGGTATATAATATTCACCCTGTATATATATGTACCCAGTAAGCAAATTGAGCGCAGACTACGTGCAGATTGGCAGAAAATTTGATCAAAAACCCACAGCAAAACTATAGAAATCTGTCTACATTAGGCTACGGTTTTGGCGACAGATCTTGCTATCAGGCAATTGGTGCCAAATTTTCAGCAAAAACCGCCCAAAGCTTGCAGCGCAGCAAGGTCTGCGCGGTTTCTGTCGCCAATCTGCCGTCAAATCGCTACAAGCTCTGTGCAGTTTTTGCTGCAAATCTGCAGCAATTTTCCGACAACAAACTCTGCCGCATATCTGGCGGCAATGTGGCAGCAAAATTTGATATAACAGATCCTATATCAAATTTGTTATCTATTTGCCATCAAAAGTTGATAGCAAACTCTGCTCGAAATCTGTTCGCGCAGGTTTGGTTATCTGGGTATATATAATTTTATATTTTAATATAATTTTATATTATAATTATCGTATTTACACACGTACCATTAGGAATATATGGTTGCATATTTTCCTTGCCAATTACTTGCATATGTTCTTCAACATTCTTTGTTTTTTTGTTTTTTAAAGACACATTTTATATTTCAGTTATCTTTATTTTTTTGAAAAATTTTTAGAATTTGAAACGGGCGTAATTTGATCTTTTACATAAGTTGCTTCAGAACAAGTAGGCTGTGTAGCACTTCCACGTAAGACGGTGTCGCAATTGACATTTGACGGCTTTTTCTTATTATGTAGAGTTTTGTCTAAATGTAACTTAGGAAATGGTATAAGGACAGATGCAGCAGTTTCTGAATCTGAATCATTGTCACTTGTATCAACGAAACTATCGTATCGTTTTGTAGCTCTCATTTTTCTATCTTTTAATTTTTCGTATTCACTGGCATCGGTATTTAAATCTGAATACTTCTCAGCTGCTTTTAATTTCTTTTTCCCAGACTCAAAACAATCTGAAACGATAAAATAGTTATTTTATGGGCGTACTAACAATTTTTGTTAAAGTAATATAAATTGTTTAATATACATATTCCGGTCTTATTTTTAAGGCCTCCTTCAATTTATTTTCACATGGTCTGTAATCAATAAAATGATCCGTAGAGCAAGTGAAGATAAACTTAAGAAAACTTGAAATATAAGGCCAGATTACTAATGAATTCGATAGAAAGAAACTAAAAATATTATTTTAAAATATTATTTTCTAATATCTTCTAAAAAAATACTGAAATCAAAATGTTACGCCAACTGATAATGCGAAAATATGTTGTACTAAATGTAACAAATGATGAAGCAAAGGAAATAATAAATAATAAGGATAAAATTTACAGTAATTAAAAAATAAAAAATAAAAATAAGGATTAGGCAAAAACAAGGCGTGACCTTAACAAGGCGTGACCTTAATAAATTATGTTAATAATTATGTGTCTATATATGTAATGAATTTTTAAATATATTAACTTTTACAAATATTGGTTGCTATTATAAAACTATATATCGTGTTTCAACGCAATTATTGGAAGATTGGAATGTATAATCCATTAAGATTTTTGTTTAAATGCATCCTAGGCATGCCAAGTGTTTTTGTCTAAACCTTAATTTTATTTTTATTTTTTAATTACTTTAAATTTTATTCTTATTATTTATTATTTTCTTTGCTTCATCATTTGTTACGTTTTGTACAACAGACTTTCGCATTACCAGTTGGCGTAACATTTTGATTACAGTATTTTTTTTAGAAGATACTAGAAAATAATATTTTAAGTTTCCTTTTACGAAACGGATGCGTGAATTTGGCGCCATTTTTTACCCTTCTTTTTAAAAGAGTAATTTTTTGAGACTTGTACCTACCAGTACTACCTATTATTCGTATTACGTCATATGAAATCCAATTTTTTCCAACAAGCTCCATATGTTGTACGACTTTATCATATTTTTGTATATTTGTAAAGTTAGGCCAATATACCTTCGTTTTAGAAACATGAAACCAGTTTGATGGTATAAGTTGTATACCATCGGAAAATTCTATTATGTAGTAAAACCTTTCCTGAGAATCCATGATTGTGGTTGTATAAAAAAACAATTATGTACCTTTTACCTAAAACAATGAAAGAAATTTACATTTGCATATATAAATGTTACATAACAATGAAACATATATTAAAAGCAAACACAATGTAACATATGACATATCTGTTATTTGAAATTTCATACTAAACAATATATCTGTTATATTATATAATATCCTCGATAGTACAATATTTTGGAAATAATATGGGGAAATATCGATGAAATTGATAATGTTACAATTATATGGCAATATTTCACAAATTACTTGCAGAAAGATACAGGATTTATGAAATATTATGCACTCTGCGTAATAAATTTCTAAATATAAGGCGTAGTAAAAAGAAATCCATTATTTTTGCATGAAATTGAAGGCTTTATTTAGCATAGTTAGAATGATCCGATTTAGGTCAAATATGCACCGTTTTGTTCGATAACTTGTTCCCATTTTTAAGGTAATTCCATTATGCCTTTCTCATAGAAACCCTTGTCCCTATTGGCAAAAAACTGGGACAGTCGATTTTTACAAGCTTCTTTTTCACCAGCAAAATCATTCGCCATAGACAGGAACAGGTGGTAATCACTTGGTGCCAGGTCCGGACTATAAGGTGGATGCATAAGAACCTCCCAACCAAGTTCCCGGAGCTTCTGGCGAGTCACTATCGATGTGTGTGGCCTGGCGTTGTCCTGATGGAAGACAATTCCTCTCCTATTGGCCAAAGCTGGCCGCTTCTGGGCGATTGATTCCTTCAGACGGTCCAATTGTTGACAGTACAGGTCCGAATTAAGAGTTTGGCCGTAGGGGAGCAGCTCATAGTGGATGATTCCCTGCCAATCCCATCAAACACACAGCAAAGCCTTCCTGACCGTCAATCCTGGCTTGGCCACCGTTTGCGCCGGCTTACCGCGTTTCGACCACGACCGTTTTCGCTTGACGTTGTCGTAAGTGACTCACTTTTCATCACCAGTCACCATCCGCTGCAGAAATGGATCGATTTTGTTGCGATTCAGCAGCGATTCGCAGATGGAAATTCGGTCCATGAGGTTTTTTTGCGTTAACTCGTGCGGCACACATACATCGAGCTTCTTTTTGTATCCAGCCTTATTCAAGTAGTTCCAAACGGTTTTTTGTGCAATGTTTAGCTCCTGGGCAATCGAAACAGTGCTTACATGACGGTCGGACTCGACGATTTCCATTATTTTATCGACATTTTCGAAAATTGGCTTTCCAGAGCGTGGTGCATCTTTGACATCAAAATTACCGGAATCGACGAAATCAAAATTGCGCGTGATTGGCTGTTACAGTATTAGGTATTGTAAACACTGTTTACATTTTCAGCTGCCTGGCTTGTGTTTTCGCCTTTATCGAAGAAAAACTGTAAAATGTGGCGTATTTTTTCTTTGCTGGTGTCCATCTTTGACGCGCGCTCAAACAATACTGAGTGAAACAATCACAAAACTGTCTCAGAAGTTTTTTTAGTACGAAATCTTATCTTTCTAATGCCATCTAGCGTAAACCAATCGCATTTATACAACGCGAGATACACATTACTAAAGCCATCTATTGGAAAAATAATGGATTTCTTTTTACTACACCTTATATAATTTCAGCAAAATTTGTGCGATATGACGAATTATCTTTGTGGAATATTTGTAAAATTAAATGTCACAATTAATTACTTAGTAATTGAGAAATATATTTGAATTATATCATGCTGATAATATAATAAAACATGAATAAAGAAAATACATATGCTTAGAAAATGCACAATTATTTCGACATTATATTATAATATTATAAGAATTATTAAATCCTTAGAACTATAATATTTTGCTGCTGTTACTACTTTTCAGAAATGTAAGCCTCAGAATCAACAAAAGCGTGAAAGAATAATCGGATATGTGACAAAAACGAATAAAAACTCAAAATTTTACAAATGAATAAATGAATAATTTGGATCGTATCATTCCATTAATAAAAGTCAACAAAAATTGCTAGAAAATAATAATAATAGTTTTTGTAATTTTGCTCGTGAAATTCGAAACCTCTCACATTTGTACCTGAAAATCTCCACCATTTTGGATTTTTTTGGTTATGCCGTGGTACATTGTAATTTAATTTCATTTAAATCATATTTTAATACTACAGATCACGCAAATGCAAGTGGGTGATAAATAATCTGAAAAAAGCGATAAAAACAAAAATTTTCTTATAAAAGCTGCCATATTGAATGCGCCATAATGAATTTTTTATCTGCATAGCACCATATTTTAGCTAAAAACATTATGCCACCAGATCCAGACAACTAACACGATCCTATGATAGAATCATGCCAAAAAGTGAGATACAAACAAACGATATCCTACATTTTTTCAATTTTTTGGTGTTTTGGTTGCCATATTGAAAAAATGGCGCGTGATAGGAAAAATTGACTTCAGATTCGGAAAGGACATGTTTTACATCTATAGAGTATCGAGTACCGGAAAGATCTATAAACTTTCTGTCAAAATTATTATAATAAAGAAAAGATAAAATTTAGATCATTTTTCAGGGGCGAAACGGGTTAAAACGTTAAATTTACGTTTGAGAAAATGAATATTGCATATTGAAGATTACCAAGCCACCTGGGCAATCCCAAGATTACCAAGCCACCAGGCAATCCCAAGATTACCTGGGAATAATCCCAGATAATATTAAACAGAATTTTCGTTGCACATATCAATCGATTTTTTTACTTGCTCTTGCCTAGCAAGTAAAAATTTATCTATTTCTTTTACCTCATCACCTCGTGTGCAACCTTCGAGCTACTCGAGACTCAAAAGCGTATAACTTGTAAACATATGTTTCTAATTCTAATGTTTTCCACTAGCGATTAGATAAGAGGAATAATGTTAAGCAGAGTAAGTGGAAAATCGGTCAAAATGCATGCAACGCGTGCCAAGCTCTGGTATATCTCGAAATTCTAGATACAATAGACGTTTCATGCTGTCTAGGTTTCGATATGATACAATAAAAAATTAATTAGTCGGCAAAATGAGATGATTATTGCTAATTGCGCAACTGATATTTGTTTCGCACTTGAAAAAGAAAAGATGTGACAGTAAACAACTAGAAGATAAGATTAGAGAATTAGATACGTTTCTAATCCATCACGTTCTAATTTGTTCCAGTTACAAACAATGAGATGCAGACCGCGCAATCTGACGTATCGCAGAAAATGGCCTTTGCGACTGGGTCTCTTTCTGATCTACGTTTTCGTGCAGTACGTCGCCTCTACAAAGACGTTGTCCGAGACGGCGACATTCTCTTTAAGTTCCGCTCAGTATAAAGAGGATTCGACGTCGGAGTCGACAGATTATTCGGTGAACGTTGAGGAGATAGCAGAAGCTACGTCGATGGTCTCAACAGTCGTGGAGAAACCTAAGAAGGAAGTTTTCACAGAGGAACCTAAGGAACCTACAGAAGTACCTAAGGACGAAGCATCGTCGTCGAGAGAGCACGGCACCGAGGAGGCACTAGTGCGAGATCTGTCACAACATACCACGAAATTCCCTAAGAAAGGAATAGAAGTAGAAGTTCCGCAGAACCATGGTCGAGAGACTATTACTACAGTAAGTAGTACAGTAAGTTACTAGTTTTTGACATCTCGTATGTACCGAGCATAGATGTGCGAATCAAGGTTTCCTTATGTGAATCAAAACGAATCGATGAATTTCGGATCGAATCAAACTCTGAATTGAATTGTTGAAACTTTATTTTTAATTAAAAACATAATTAGTAATATGGTCTATAGGAGCCAGTTACTGGATGTTAGTGCTATTTTAGTAAATAAAAGAGGTTATTATCTTACCGATATTGCTGAAATTGGTATATACGAGGACTGCTCCGTAAGTTTTGCGACTTGGCAACACTGGCGTTGCTAGGTAAAATCTAACCTTACCATCAAAAAGTTTGACAGTTTGGAGGATTTTTTTACTCGAAACGTTTTGTCGTACGGAGGCTACTTGTATTGTTTACACCCAGTAAGCAATCTGCGCGCAGACTGACGTCAGACTGTCGACAGGATCTGTCGAATCCGAGCAAGATCTGTCGACAGATCCATAGACATCTGCGTCCCCAATCTGCCGCCAGACTGTTGACAGGGTCTGCGAACAGACTCTGACGACAGACTGGCGGCAGATTGCGCGCAGAGCCTGTCGACAGACTATGACGGCAGATTGGCTGCAGATTGCGCGCAGATCCTGTCGTTTCGTAGGTTCTTTAATTAAATTTTCTTATAATTTTTCATATTTACTCATAGAATAAGCGCTATCTCATAAATACTCATAAAATACTATGACAAAAAAATTTTTCTACATTATTTTTTCATAATTTTTAATATTTTCTCTAGTGAGATTCGAACTTGAATTGAAGAGATCTTTTGGATAATCGTCCGTCGCCTTAGACACTACGCCAATTCCTCACTT